TGACATTCACTGATCATCAATTGTTGATTATTCAGGTCTATTTAGCCACAGGCGCTCTACATTCAGAGTGAGAGTGACGATATGGGATCCTGTCCTAGAATTGTTCAACAGGTACATAACAGGTGCTGTAATGGATCCGACTATAGAAACCATGGCAACGACAGTGGTGGCCTCATCGTTAATTCGCTAGATTCCAAATCGAGCGGTCTGGGTTCAAACCCTGACTGTGGTCGTTGGGTTGTGTAAAGCCGACTCTTTCTACCCATGTGAATGAATAAATGGGTACCAACGAATTTAATGTTAAGAGCGGGAGAGCGGTGGGAATGGAGTGTAAAGAACTAGTATTTCATTCAGGAGGGACTTGAAATAGTAGGTTCTAGCGTGGCTTCATTCTATGAAATCTAAAAATAGGCGTGACCTGAGAGCCACTAGACTCGAACCGCAAACTTTACCGTAATCTCACCACAGCGGCCATATTGTGTTTCTTAACAAAAAGAACTCTGCTTCCAGAAAAAAAGTTCTTGAAAAATTCCTCAGTGGAAAATCAACGCAGCCGCATTTTAACTTAGTTCACCGAGATCAATCTTTTCAGTTCCTTCGTTACTTTTTACTATCGCGAAACTGAATTGATTCATGTACAGCTAGACTACAGACCAAGCACGGTGCCGTGTACGTGCGGCTTCATTTTCAGAGGCCAAAGTTAACTGGACAGTAAATTACTGAGGTGATGAGATAAGGTTTTTTTTCTTTCTTTTTTTNAGAAACCATGGCAACGACAGTGGTGGCCTCATCGTTAATTCGCTAGATTCCAAATCGAGCGGTCTGGGTTCAAACCCTGACTGTGGTCGTTGCGTTGTGTAAAGCCGACTCTTTCTACCCATGTGAATGAATAAATGGGTACCAACGAATTTTATGTTAAGAGCGGGAGAGCGGTGGGAATGGAGTCTAAAGAACTAGTATTTCATTCAGAAGGTACTTGAAATAGTAGGTTCTAGCGCAGCTTCACTCTATGAAATCTAAAAATAAGCGTGGCCTGAGAGCCACTAGACTCGAACCACAGACCTTACCTTAATCTCACCACAGCGGTCATATTTGTGTTTCTTAAGAAAAAGAACTCTGCTTCCAGAAAAAAAAAAGTACTTGAAAAAATTCCTGAGTGGAAAATCAACGCAGCCGCTTTTTAATTTAGTTCACCGAGATCAATCTTTTCAGTTCCTTTCTACTATCGCAAAACTGAATTGACTCATGTACAGCTAGACTACAGACCAAGCATGGTGCCGTGTACGTGCGACTTCATTTTCAGAGGCCAAAGTTAACTGGACAGTAAATTGTTGAGGTGATGAGATAAGGTTTTTTTTTGGNGGGCTGGGACGACACAGTCGCGGCCGCCGCTCCATTTCACATGTTCAAGTTCGTCCATATATTCAAATGGACTTATAACCAGACACACCAATCATTAAGCTAAGCACTTGTACCTTTGTGGCAAGCGCCATCACAACTGAAGTAAAGCTCCTTTCGAGGCAAACGACGAATGCCCTTTCACTCTAATTTCGACCAGTTCACAATACAAGGACATCTGAGTTTTATTCACTCCTTTATTTTTAAAATTTCAATATTTAAAACTTTTAAGATACTTTGTGAAGACAGCCCTTTGAGGGAACAACATCAAATAAAATTATCTCAATATTTCATAGGATATGTAAACAGTTTACTTTCCGCGACCGTTGCAAATAGGTGCAGAGTTTCATTGCGACTTGTCTTCTTCGTCATTCAGTTCCGTTCTGTTTTATCATGTGCAGTAATTATGAAAGACAGTCTGTTTGTGGAGAGGTTTAATTGCTTGTAAGTGATGGTGACCTCTCCTTTTTCCAAACCGGCTTAGCTGCTGTTGATGGTATTCTCTCCACTGTGATCAATTCGCAGGCGCTGTCTTTGCCACCGTAGTATTGCAGTAATTCTTCCATGGCTCTTTCTTCAAGCTGAAAACACAACACGTGGAAAAGTAACAATACAATACAATGCAATACAAGGCAATGCAATACAACACTTAATTTAATGTGAAACATACGCTTAGCTATATGGTTTAGTTTAAAAAACTGCACCAGCTACTTTGCAGCTGCTATTGTGACAATTCTCAACATAATTTTTGAAAATAACGTTAGTTTACAATCGTTGATCTATGTAACCAATCAGGGAAAGGACAGTTTTCTTTTTGGCCAATCAGATGCTAGGGTAAACCATCCGCGATTTGCCTTCCGCGATTTTCCCGCGCTTCAACCGGTTGCAAGTTTGCTGAGTTTTGATCAGTTTGTAGCGCTAATAGCGGGCGTAATGATTAATATCTTTGTTACTTAAGTCCGACAATAGTCTTAGTATCGCCGCTTTATAGACGAAATTAACGTGACAGCATATACCTGTGTCAAGTGGAATGGCTTCCTGCTGAACCTAGGGAAGCGGATAGATAGAAAAAGATTAACAACTGGATTCTCCCTGCCGATTCCAACACACTTCTTTCATAATGGTCCTGAGAATTTGGTAGCTCATCGACACGGTTGCCACAAACATCCCTTTTCAAAATTCCCTGACTTTTCCCTGATAAAAATCAAATTTCCCTGACCAAAGAAATACAAAATGTCAGGTTTAGTAGCGGCTTCTTCTTCCACTCGTTCATTAAGAGTGATAATTTTCAACAAATTTTCCTTCTTTATTAAGGAAAAATATCGTTGAGAACAGAGTTACCCCAAATGTTTCTTCAGTATTAAATCAGACGTATTAAATCATTTCAATTTTCCCTGACTTTGAAGAATTGTTTTTCCCTGACCATTTCCTGACCTGTGGCAACCCTGATCAAAACAGGTATCCTGATTAGAATTTTATTATTTTAGTCTCTTCACGGTTACTTATTTAAATCAAACAAAACAAAGTTTATCAAGCACAGCACACATAAAAAGACACATACTTGGCAAGATTTGTGTCCTCCTCTTGCTGGGTTTCAAGGATGGTAGAAAAAGCGACTGACGAAGATGGCGGAGAACATGCGATAGAATTTGACTGCCAGGCACTAAGAACGAAAAAACAAAACAGATATAATTGGTCAGGTGTCAGAAAGAACACTGATATCAAAATCAAACAACTATCATAACCACTCGAAGCCAACATATTTATTCCGATTCTGTGATAAAATTTTCAACCATTTTGAAAAATTGATATACTTTTCGGGGTGATGTCGTGAAATGTGAATTTAAATTTGTCCGCCAAACTTGCAGGAAAAGAGAAGACAAGCTGTTTTCTCTTATACAAATTTGTCAGCGGTCCACCTCAGGACAAATGGCCGTATACATCGCAAATTTCGGACCGCTCAAGGAACCAATTACAATTCGCATTTTAATCGTGGACAGCTTTGCCATATAATAAAATGTCTCGACTCACTAGTGAAGTCGGAAATTAGTTGGAAGTATGTTACCTTTTTGGAGGAGAGCAAGGTACGCTAGAGTGAGGTTCAGAATTCGTATCATCAACTTCTCGTCCATCAGAATTTGAACTGTCTGCGTAAAATCTAGGTTGAGGGCGCCAACTGCAGCAGAGTGAAGGAGGAAACGCGGCGAATAAACAAAGAGAAAACAGTGTCAATTGAAACAAAAAAGTGTCGTTTGACTCGTCACACAAAACACTTCTTCTCGATATCAACTAACACTTTCCTGCGAGACAAAACTAAACAACGTATCACTCAAGATGTAACAGAAATGAACAAAAGAAGATACGTTCCCAGCAAAGAAGCCGTTACTGTACAGGCGTTGAACGTTTACAGTCAGATTAAACTACTTATCCACCTTATCGATAAAAGTAAAAGCAAGTCCCTTTCTTATTGACTGTCCCAGGTTGGTAAGTTAATGAAGCCCATTCACGTGAGTGACATGACTTCACTTGCAGCCGTCCGATGAAAAATCTCTGTACATGTATTTGAACACTAAATTTGGACACCTAGGATAACTGCTGTGTTACCACTTGAAGACCACTATTTAACTAAGACTTGCCAACCTCAAAAATCATTGTTGATAAGATTGACTGGTAACTGGAGG